GGTGGAAAAATCATGTGAGATAATTTTCATTTCAGTGGGAATTTCAGAATTGAGCCTGGCATTCTTATTGTAAAACAAAATCTGCATAATCAAATCTGATAGGTTCAGATATTTCACCCAGAAAGAAATTCATTGAAAAAAGCTTGCTCAATGTACAATTTCCATTGCCAACAAACTATTTCCCATGAATTTTATCATTTCAGATTGGGATTTTTCAGCAAATTTGTTTCAAATTGACCCCCCAAAAAAATAATGAAAAAATAATCCGCATTTTGAGAAATTTGACCCGCGACCCCAATTTACAAACCAGAAATTGGTTCTACAACCCACCCAGACCACTGCTGCCACATCTAGTGGGTTGCAGAAACGAAAAGGGGGGGTCACATGTCAAACCCCCAAATCAAAGAATCAGAATTTCAAATATGGTGCTCAAATAAATGAAGCACACAAGTCAGGTTCATGGAATGTTGAAAACCAAATCAAAAATCAAAATCAAAAACACAGAAATCCTATTGCCTATTCCAAGAATTTGCATCATCTTTCTCAATCTTAGTCACAATAAGCAAAAAAAAAAAAAAAATTGAAATTGAAGTTGTTCAGAATAAACTATTTGACATTTGTGAGTGGTTTGGTCAAGCCTGCTGGTATAATAATTCAACAATTTTTTGATATTTGCTTGGCTTATATGCAGATACACCAGGCCAAAAACAAAGGCAACATGTACACATTGCCTTCATTTTGGGTATGGTGATAAGAAGGATGTAAGATCACCCTCATGAATGTGACTATTTTTTTTCCTGGTGTCTCACTGTGCTGAAGGACTCTTGGCAGAAATTACTCTCAGCCACCCTCCTCTTTGGTTTAATTCAAGACAATATAATGAAAAGGATAGTTTTATTATATTCTCTTCTGGAAATCCAGGGAGCAATAGAGTTCAAGGAGTAACTTATATATGCTATCTAAAACAGGTGACTAGATATAAGCATATGCAAAAGATGCTAATAATAAAATAATGAGAAATTGAAGATTAAATGAAAGTAAGAGTGATAAAAGATGC